TAGAAAATGGTCAGGGATTTAAGTGAAGCAAAGTATATGTACATAGTAGCAAGGCAAATACTAGAAAATGGTCAGGGTTTTAAGTGAAGCAAAGCTGAGGCTAAGCCTAGATGTGGTGGGAGACAGAGGCAACCAGTATTTAAGATAGTGGAAGGCCCAGAACTGAAATTTCTGGTGAGATAATGAATTGCTCTAGGACATGGTTATCTAGTCCAGGTAGCAAGAAAATTCTACAAAAGAAGATAACCAGAGCATCTAAATGAAGTCAATATATACCCTTTGTACTTGGTGACCTCTACATGAAATCAGACATGACAGACAACAATAAATGTCGAAAAAAAAACCAAGCATTAACAAAAGTGGTCAAAGGTTGTAGACCACTCAGAAGTCCCATAACTGTAGATTATGAATACTTTCTTGAAAAAACTTTGAAGGTACTAGATAAACACAAAAATATTGGTTACTGCTTTGGGCATCATTTGGCTGTGTTTTGTCAGAACAAAATTAACACCAAATCAGAAGAAAGGATAAAGAAATGTCATTCCATGTAATTATAAAAGATCTAATCTAACCATCTACATAAGCTCTCAAATCTGAAAAACAGGAAATGGATACAAGTAAAGATAAAGAATGGTTACAACCAATTCTTTATTTTCTAACAAATATAAAATAAATCACTACAAAGATCCTAGATAAGAGAGAGCTCAGAATTTGTCTTAACCAATATATACACCTGATCTCCCTGACAAGGAGTCATAGCAACCAAGAGTATTTCATTTGAAAAAGTAAGCTCATTTGCAAACATTATGATGGAAGATGAAGATTAAAAGGAAGATCACCACACAAAACAACATAAAGCAGCAGACAATTAGTATATCTACAGAGATTTGATTGAGACTTGAGTAAACTAGACCATTCTAAGAATATTCAGAAATGAAATTGGAAAAAGAACAACGAAATGAAGCATGTATGAGAATTTCTACAGTGATTCATCAATGACAGTAGAACATTTAGTACATAGTGGAACATTTAGAACATAGTACATTTGGCACTACATGTACTATATAAGAAAGCATGAATGATACTCAAGAAAATGAAGTTGAAAGCAGCCATACTTGACCAAATACCAAAGAAAATCACGCTAAACACAACGAAAACCTCAAAGAAGGGAAAACTGAAAAAGAATATAGTTGATATTGCCAAATCATGGTGACCAAAAAGACAAGGAACTACCACAAAATACTCCTGATTTACCATTGCTAGGAAATCTTTATGACAATGGTTAATGATTAATTGATAGTATCCTTGATGAAAATATGTAAAGGACAAAGACAAGCCTCTGCTGAAGTTCTCTTCAGTGTCACACAATTCACTGTGAGAATATGGAGAATACAAAATCAATGATCCTCTGATTATCAATATGAAGAAAGGCATTAAATAGGGAGGCATGTTTTTGCATATTTCTGTATGAGTGTCTTTGAAGATTTCCCATACAAAGTCTAAATGGAAAAGATATTTCTCTTAGATGATAATTTTCTCTAAAAGCTGTTTTCAGATAGCATTATGCTGGTAGCATTGAACAAAGGAATATTAAAGTACCTTAATGAAATTTGCATGAAAATTACTACTAAGTAAAAAAAAAAAATAATAATCCACATAAGTCAAGTGGATATAAACTGAGTTAACCCGAGTGTATGTATGTTATGGATGTTGGATGTACTCATTCTCGTATCCCCTCTCTCTCTTTCTCTCTCTCCCCCTCACACACACACACACACACACACACACACACACACACACACACACACACACACCCCCCCCCCCCCAAATATGCTATTTCCAAATTGAACAGAATGGGGAGAATGAATTAAGTGACATTTAGGAAATTACATGGAACTTTTAATGTGAAGCTGCTCCCTACACCTCCAAATATATCATTTTAACATCCATATTCACCATTACTGTCCCAGAAAAAAAAAATGAAAATTTCAGTTGGTACAGAGCAATGGAAAAATATACAGTGGGTATAAAATAGGTATAATATCAAGGATGGTTTGAGCACAAGAAGTGCACATCATCAAATACATGAATGACTAGAAAAGGAGGTATGCCAATCCTACAGCAAACACATGAGATAGGGAAAAACAGTGTAAAAACCCAGTGGAAGGCATCCATGGCACATGAGTATACATTCTATGAAGGATAAATGGAAGGTTGTGGATAGGAATCACACAGGACAAGAAGGAATGGATGTGTTGTACCTTGTACTGGTGAAGAGAATATTCCAACTTATAAGAACATGGATATATCAAGCCAGTGAAAGCAACAAGTACCCACTAACTACAATTCCACTAAGCATATGATGGTAGACTTAATTTTTTTCATTAAATCCTTTTCTCATGAAGTCATTTTATTAATTGTTCACGCTTTTAAAGAGGCATTATGGTACAGGAAAATGTTAGATTTTAAGTCAGATATCAGGACTCTAATCCTAGCCCTGCCACTAAATACCTACAGGACCTTGGGCAAATTCCTTTACTTCATGCCTCAAGTTCTCCTCTGTAAAAGGAAGGGGCTGGATCAGATGACTTCTAAGGAACCTTCTACCTCTACATCTGTGAACCTAAGAACTATGTTCAAACCATTAAGAATACAAATCTATTACTGGCATAGCTTAATGATGGAAATATAAAAAGGAAAAATAGATGAAGGATGGAAAATGAGCACAAAGTCAACAGCTTATACCATGTATTTACTTGAGAAAAATTTTCCAAGGAATTACAAGACTAAGAATCTTTAAATAACTTTCACTTGTTAGGTTTCTGCATTAAAAATAAACTATAAAATATTATAATCCTGTTTAAGTTAATTTAATAAATAGGTTGTCTATTTCAATAATGAAATACAATTAAAATGAATGTCTAATACATATTATTAGTTGTCTATAAATTAACTGATTAAACAAATGCTATGGAACCATAAATTTAAAAAGTGTTTTCCTTAACATTTCAATATTCTAGTCATAAGAAAAAATACGGGTAAATTATGGAGAAGGCTGATTAGGGAGAAAAAAAAGGACTTACCAGTATAGATGCAGATGACATTATACGTACAAGAAATGAAGTATTAATTTCTTTAAACTGAAGAGAGGATCTAAGTAATTCAAATGCCAAGCCTTTGAAAAAGCAGGTTTTAAACTAACTAGAGTTCAGATATAAATTTTAATTATGTATTAATAAAGCACTAAGTTAAGTGACAGCAGTGCTTCAAATTATATACTATATGAATGAGTTCACTAAGGTTTTGCTATTTGGAGGTGTAACAACAACAAATGTAATTGATAACATACGCAATAAATAAATGAAATAAGGAGTTTGACCTCGTTTTAAAATTATAGTAATGCAGTTTCCTCAGAATACTTTTAATGTTCATCATCTGATAGTGTGGCAAATTTATATTGGCTCCTTTCTTAACAACATTTTTAGTCTTATAATTCTTTGATAGGGTTGTTTACCTGCCAAGAAGAAATGTAATGTCTTTCTATAAAAAAGCAGTAGGAAAGTTTATCATTTTCATATGAATTTGAGGCAATCACCACATTGAAGTTTAAATGTTTTAATAAGGGTTATTTCTGAAAAGTGAAAATAATTACTAACATAAAATACATTGGAATGTTTGATATAGCAATAAAATTAGTAAGAAATTAGGGTTAAGAAGGTCATTTACAGATTTAATTAATAATACTCCCAAAGCAAATCTACAAAACATTGACTATTACATACACATTTAAACTCACCTACATTCTTTCTTAATTTCTTTTTCTGTATCTTCTAACTCAAGGCCTATTGCTGACAAATATAATGGTATATCCTGTGTTCATTTTATAGGAATTGGACAGTTGTGAATATATGACATCTTAAGAACTTCAAAAATATTAACCACCTATCACAATTTTCCATTATTTTTGGTTTTTGCTTCTTTTTATGCCTAACTCATAGTTTTTTTTATAAACAGACTCATTCCAGGAACATGGATTTATGTTGAATTTCTTTAATGTAAATCCTTTCACCAGTGACAACCATTAAAAAAAAAAAAGACCCAGAGAATTCTGTAGAAAAATATCTGTACTATAGAATGCAACAGCTGTAAAAGACATCAAGATTATCATCTGGTCAAGCCTTTAGGTAAGGCATCATCATCTCCCTCTTACATACAAGGTAACTAAGGTCCAGAGGTGGTGAGTGAATTATACAAGGTCACTTAACTACTGAATGGTGGAAATGAGACTTAGAACCAAGGTTTCTCAACACCTAATTCAATGTCCTTTTCACTGTTCTACAATAAATCAAACTGAAAAGATGATGAATAGGTCCACTGTGGATATCATTTCCATTATTGTTTCCCTCTACAATTTCTTAGGTCAAAGGAAAGTCCCCCTTCCTTATTAAAACTGACATAGTCACTAAAGATGAATACTATTGTTTTGTGGGGTCTGCCTTGTGAGAAGGAAAGAAAATTCATGAGTGGGAGTTCCTAGGACCAGCCTGATTCCATAGCTTCTTGAATATAGTCCCTTTATTTTTTTTTAGGGATGAAGGAATATTTATCATGGTTAGAAGAACTAAGCTACAATATTATATTTCTACAACTGACATAACTACCTACTAACATAAAAATTATCTACATTTGACGCTTTAGGTTCTATAAAAATCAGTGAGTCCAACTGTTTCAATTTTATAAATTTGAAATTCTACAACACAAATGTTTTAAAATTAAAGGTGTCTATAGTGAAAAGGAATTTGCAAAAGTTATCAAAACTAATAAAAAAAGATCACCCACATGATACACATTCTGTTAAACCAGTGGGAAAAATACTGTGGCTTTATTTACCATCAAAATCAATTGATAAGCAAATAGTATATTTACAAAAAGTACTGAAAGATTCTTTATACACAATAATAAGCAAAAACTATTCAAACTGTTTTCTATTGCATACATACCAACTGTTTTCTGTCGAACTATACTTCTTGCCTTTTCAGTTCCTGGAGATCCAGTAGTGGTTGCACTTCGCTGTCTCATTGGGGCTTGACCAGGTTGATCACGGCTCCATCCTTTGGAAAATGACTTGTCAACAGATGTCTTTTGGAATTCATGTCCGACTCCTAGAAACATATTTTCAATCTCTCAATTTACCATCAATTGAAAAAACAAATGTTCAAATTTCATGTGACTCAGATAAATAGAAAGATCATCATATGTTATGCTGCAAGGTAAAATGTCATGCACTGTCAACATAAGGTTTCCTTGTGCTAGACCCTCCCCCACTAAAAGCAATACTTTAAAGATAACCAATTTTATTAGTATACTTACTCCCTCCCCCAGTGAAGATTATACCCTCTTCTAAAATTGGAAGAGAGGGATAGAATGAGGGAGGGAGGGAGGAATGGAGGAAGGAAGGAAGAAAAACAAGAAGGCAGGAAGGAAGGGACAATTGTGAAGGAAGAGAAAAAATAATCACAATCTTGTTTTTGTTTGTCTAACTTGTGCCAGAAACAGAAAGAGATTACAACTATCTCTGCGTTGCCATAATAGTTCTTAAGGAAATCAAAGCCCTAAGAAAAAGGTACTTAGCTACTTGATTTTACAAACTGGGCAAATATTTCTTTCAAAATGACCACTCCATCGTGGAATTATTCTCTTATTTTTATGTAAATGTTCAATTTTTTTGGAAAATTAAGTAAACTGAATAAATTAAATGCTTTAGAAGTGAATTTTTTCAAAATAAGTCTTCACAGGACTTACTGGTAAGATGCCACCTAAATGGGAGGCAAGCTACCCTGCTCATATACAATAACTCCAGCAAAATTCTGAATTTTGTACCAAACTGAATAATGATCAAGAAATGCAATGAGAAAACACAGGTGACTTCTTCTACCTCAGAATACACAAAAGATGGGTAGAAACCGCCTGTGAAATAGGAAAAGGCAAGCAAAGTTACTGTCAGTGTGACCAAAGATTAAAACAGCATTGTAAGAAATAACAAAAGTCAAGTTGAGGAAATCCTGGAGAATGTGAACTGATGTAGACTGAAATGAGAAGAACCAGAACAGGTCATACAACAACAATAATATTGTAAACAAAAAAAACTTTAAAAGACTTAATAACTATGATCAATACATGTTTCGGGAGCATGTTAATCACCTCCTGACACAAAAGTGATGGACACAAGGTTAAGAGACTTTCACTTTTGAGGAATGGTCACTAAATAAATTTGTTTTGCTTGATTATACTTACTTCTTAGAAGAGGTTTTTATTTTCTCCCTTTCAGTTAAGTGGGGAGAGCAACAGTGATGCCCCTACCCCCAAAAAGAGGGCCACTGAAATACTTTACACATTCTCTCTCTGCTCTGCTCCTGACTTTGCAGACTTTTCCACCTCTAATTCCAGCTATCTTCTTACTCTGAAAATGTCTCTTATCCCTCCCCCAATTGGTGAGCTTCCACCAGAATGTCCACTTAAGAAGGCACCCAGGCCAGCCTTGTTTACTTTTCTACTTAATCTGCTCCCAACTCTTCAGATTTTTACACTTTATCCCCCTGACAAGCACCTATCCTACCACCCCACAACTTGCTTCTACATACTTTTTAGCTCTCTTTTATAGATTATCTTTCTCTCATTAGAACATACGCTCCTTGGGAGTACCATCTGTGTTTCTTTTTGCTTGTATTTGTATTCCAAGTGCTTAGCACAGAGACTGGAGCATAGCATGCATTTAATAAACGTTCTATCTTGGGGCAGCTAGGTGGAGCAGTGGATAGAGTACCGGCCCTGAAGTCAGGAGGATCTGAGTTCAAATCCGGCCTCAGACCAAATACTTGACACTTACTAGCTATGTGACCCAGGGCAAGTCACTTAACCCCAATTGCCTAAAAAAATAAATAAATAAATACAATAAATAAATAAATAAATAAATGTTCTATCTTTAAGAATACACAGAAGAGAACAAAAGACAGTCCAAAAGGAAGCATAAACAAGGACAGTTTTGAAGATTAAATGCAGAATTTATTAGATATTTAAATTTTATATAAAGTCTTCTTTGTGTTCTATATGTATGATATGGTCTTTTTATTTTAATATTTAAGTTCAAATAAAAATTTTTTTTAATATATTAGCAAATTATCCTTCCTCAATCCTAAGAGGGGATTGTTTAGATATGCTTAAGGTAATAACAATTATCAGGTATACAAAATATAACAAAAGGAATCATAGTGTAAGAGCTGGAAGGGTCATCAAAGGACATCTAAGTCCAACCCCCTCATTTTACAAATGAGGAAACTCAGATTTAAGGAACTTGAGTGACTTGCCCAAAGTCACACAGTTAGGTAAGTATCAGAGGCAGAACTTAAACTGAAATATTAAGAAAAGGGTATATATTCTTACTACATTCAGTATGGCTAATTCAAAACAAACAAGCCACTTTAGCCAACTAAAATCTCCTAGATTATAGGAAAGATTTTGACATAAAACCTTTTTTGATTTTCAATTCATTCCTATTTCATGTTATCAGGTTTTGTTTCTCTTTGCTTTAAACAAAGAGTCTAGTAATTCAAAAGTATTTTGTTTTTTAAAATTTGTTTTTAAAATAATGTGGCCTTCAGATCCTGCTGGCAGAAAGACAAGCAGCTTTGAGGGAGAATCTATTTTTCCTACTTAGTAATTAAGGCAATTTAGAATATCTTTCTTACCTTTGCCTTTGTGCTTTTTCTGTTTCTGTTCACTTAGCTTATCCAGTGGTAAATCATTTAGGTCCAAGCTATATAAATTTCTAGCTAATACTTTAGTTAGTGTCTCCATAGTCAATGACCACTCGGTAGCCAACTCTTCCCAATATGTGAGTGATGACAGCACAGAGAGCAAGTCATCCCAAAGCTCCCGGGAGATATACACATTTAGATTTGCTTTGATCCAGGCTACTATAAGAGTCTAAAAAAAAGTCAAAATCAACAATTAAGTATACTGAGGGTAGTGTGTAACTTTAGAATAACAGATATTCAATCAGCAACTATTCATCTAAAAACAAGAAAATTTTGATTACTTTTTACCAATTATTTGTGGGAGCCAGGGGAGTAGAGGGGTTTGACTGGTATATTCTTTATGAGAAAAATGTCCATCACGAACATTTTCAATAATAAAGTTATTCTCTATTTTACCACAACCAATATTGGCACATTGCTAACAATGGAATATTATTTCTTTGATAGGGTGAGTTTTTACCCTTCATTCGATCATTCACAAATTTGAAGAGAACTCACATTGTGTAAAAGACAATTAAATGCTTCATGATATCTCTATATAAAATGAAGAGTAAACTCTCCACAGAAAATTTCTATTTTAAATTTATTAAGAGTTAAAAATATTTATGGTTGTCTAATGAATAAGACTTCTAATATACACACTCATATCTGAATTATCCTTTTTCAAGTTTATACTTTTATATATCTAACAAGTACATATGATACATATAGTATACATTTATACTATATATATACTATGCTAAAAAATAAATCAAATATGAAAGCTCAGATTTACAGAATATATGGCAAAAATGTGGGTTTAGATATATGTATGCATACATGTGCATACCATAACATACATGTGTATATGTTTGTGTATATATACACACGTGTACACTATACATATATTTCTAAAATTTAATCTTACATATATTTCACTGTATGATTTTCACATATGTTGTAAACCTTTAGAGTAAGCATGGATTTTATGCAATGAGCTTAGTTTTAAAATGCCACATGAACAATGGATTATTTACAGTAACTGTTAGATACTGTTGAACATATACAGTAACAAAACATTTAAAATGCAACTATGGAAAGATGTTTTACTTCAAAGAATTTTAAATCATTTCAAGAGGGGTTTGGGTATATATTTTGCCCAGGATTAAAAGATGTATTCAAAAATAGTTTGGTGTGTAAGACTTTTTTTCCCCCAGATAAAACCCAATTTAATGTCAATGATTATATAAACAGTGAAAACTGGAAGATCTGTACTACAAAAAACTTTTACTTGCCATGATCACTCTACCTAGGAAGATTTGCATTCACTGTATGAATTAATCCTGGCATCTTGCAATAGTTAGGTTTTAGTTGGTTATTTTTTATTGAAAATACATAGGCAAGAGGCATCTAGGTGGTTCAGTGGATAGAGCACCAGCCCTGGAGTCAGGAGGCCCTGAGTTTAAATCCGGCCTCAGACACATGATACTCACTAGCTGTGTGACCCTGGGCAAGTCACTTAATCCCAACTGCCTCGCTGAAAAAAAAAACAAAACCAAACCACAGGCAAACAAAACATCATTTCACAATTTATAATTCTAGCATGACTAAGCAACACCTTATACTACAAATTAAATACTGTGGAAGCATACTGAAAAACCTTTTATGTTTCAACCAAGAATATAAAGGAACAAATATTTCTCTAAAGTCCTTTTCAGACTTTTCCCTTTAGGAAAGCATGTAAAAAGTCAAGAATAAAAAACTAAGACCCTGGAAAATGGATTAAGGGTGATAACCAAATTCAGAACAAGAAATGCCTCTTGTCTAGTTAAGATCACTGCCTTCTCCATCCCCAGAAAGGATTAGTTATGATCCACCTAAGGACAGTACCTTTACTCCCCATTCTGAAGAGGTAAGGACTTTGATTAGAAGGAAGTCCATTTGATCAAAATGCCTGTGAGGGAGAGGTCAAAAAGTGAGAAGTAATCTTAGAAGGATGATTGTCTAGGGACATTCTGGAAAAATTCAGTGACTATTATTCCATTAGATGGAGCAGAACATTAACCCAAAACCATGTTTTTTTCAAGATTCCTATAAATGTTCCTTCAAAAAGTCTTGTGTGAGAAAAATGTCAGAGGATGTGAAGGAACCTTGCTAGTTTGGACATTGGATAGATTTATGTCTAAAAGATGAATCCATTATCAATATTTTTTTCTTCAACAATGGTAAGCAAGAATCTTGAAGGTAACTATTTGAAGTGGAGATACTTTTAAGACAAAGTATTTCCTTATAATCTTGGATATTTGGAAATATTGAAACAAAATAATAACAGCAGCACTACTTATACAATCTTGTATTGCTTTTTCAATAATCCACAAAAAAGTCAAAGTTGTTACAATTAAGATGATGAACTTCTGCATTCATAACACAATATTCTACGTCCATGGACATATAAATTCTATATACAGTTGTAAGACTTAATAGATCTTGAGGAAGAGAATAACTTTTTTGTTTAAGCTACAATTTCGTTGTGGAGCTCTTTACTTTTTTTTTTTTTGGTGATGCAATTGGGGTTAAGTGATTTGCCCAGAGTCACATACCTAGTAAGTGTTATGGGTCTGAGGTCAGATTTGAACTCAGGTTCTCATGAATCCAGGGCCAGTGCTCTACCCACTGTGCCAACTAGCTGCTCCCAAATTTTTTTTTTTGTGAGACAATTGGGGTTAAGTGACTTGCCTAGAATCACACAACTAGTGAGTGTTATGTGTCTGAGGCCGCATTTGAACTCAGGTCCTCCTGATTCCAGGGCCAGTGCTCTATCTGCTGCACCACACAGCTGCCCCTTTAAATGGTGTCTTCCACATTAAAACTTTCTCAAATGACATTAAAATGCTGTTTAGGAAAAAAAATGTATTGCCTGAAAAAGAGGTCCTGCAAGTCGACCCGCTAGTGTCGTATTTTTTCTTCCTTGGTATTGCAGAAAAATTTGTGATGGCATCTTCAGAACAGATTCTGTAACTCTGAGCAATACAAGCAGCATCTGTTCCCTAAAAGAAAAAAAAAATATTAACCTTTCCTACTTATTAAGATTTACTTTTGCTTAATACTTAACCTTTCAAATTGAATATATTTGATTTCAAGAATAATGCTATAGAAGTAGATAGGTGGTATCTAGTATGGAGCTTGGAGTCAGAAAGATTTAAGTTCAAATTCTGTCTCATATACTCACTAGCTGTGTGATTCTGGGCAAGTCATTTAATCCACTTTGTCTCAGTTTCCTTACAAGCTTGTTGTGAGGATCAAGTGAAATAATAAGTAAAGCACTCTGTAAACCTCAAGAGTGCTATACAAAAGTTAACTTATTAATTAGTATCCATGTTACCAAGAACATGACACTATCCTACTTACTTCTTAAGTTCTCAAATTGTACCAATCAACTGTGAGAAAGAGGGGACAAGAGTTTAAAGTCTGAAGCTTAAAGCCAGCCTAGCAATTAACTTGAATCCTCTACCATGACACCTTTTTTCTCTACTGTAGGTTAAACTCTAGTTAACATGTATGGGAAGTAGTGAAGCATTCGTCAGAAGCAGAACCAGGTCTCAGTTTTGGCTATCAAGATTTTCTTGCAAAACAACAAGGATGAACTTGAGATTAATAATAATAATAAAATAATAATAATAACAACATAAAGAACTATATTTACAAATGGACAATGCCAAAACAGAACTATATGCATTATAAAGTCAATTACAAAGATAATGAAGATAAAATTTTCTAGTTTAACATTTCTTCTTTTTTGGTTAAATTACATATTGCCCAGGTACTAGTCAAAATTTCCAACATGCACTATAGTAGAACATGTCCATATTTAAGAAAAAGAGGTCAATGCAGACAACTGTGAATTTTTTAATGCTAATCAGGTATTTTATGTAATTGATTAAAGACACAAAAAATTCTTAATTAAATCATTACATCACAATTTGCCTCTCACCCCAAATCTGGTTCAATATCTAATATCTGCACAGAGAGGCTGGAACATGAAGAAATAATTGGAGAGGTGAATAATTTTTTGGTGCTCAAATATTATTCAAGGAGATTCTCAAAATAAGTATGTTTATTCCTCTTACAAATGATACATATTTCTATAGACAATAAAAACATACAAAAGATAATGGAACTTTTTACCAAGTCTTCTTATCCATTGATATTTGTACAACCATGAATCGATAAATATTAAGAATACGTTTACACATATCTGTGTGCTCATCCAAAAGACTTTTAATTTCATTTGCAGGTTCAAGAAGAAATATATTTGATGAGTTGACTATAAAAACCTAGAAGAAAAAATTAATGTACAAATAAAAACTTACAATATATGCTGATAATGGAATTTAAATTGCAGGGTAATAAACATTACTAAACAAATTCAAGTCATTACCCATTAAATTCACAAGGTTATGTATAAGTTTAGAGTTGTTTTGTAAAAATAAGGAGATGCTTAAGATACTTCTCACAAAGGTACCATCTTATTTCATGCTATTATCGCCACTCATCGAAGATGATAGCTTCCAAATTATTCTCCCTGTTTCAAATATCCCCATTCCAATCCAACCTGCATACAGGTGCCAAAATTATTTTCCTTAAGGACAAATCTGACAATGTCACTCTCCAACTCAATAACTCCAGCTGCTCCCTCCTATTAGTTTTGAAAGTCTTTCAAAACTTGGCCCTTATCCTAATATCTGCCTAATACGTTACTTCTCTGCCAGCAATGTACGTTTCAGCCAAACTGGACATTATTCTGTTCTTTACCAACACCATGGCATTCCATCTTCCCTTTCCGTGTTTTTGCACTGATTGTCTCTAATGTCCAGAATGCACTTGTTCCTCAACTCTGCCCCAAAGAACCCGTAAGTTCCTTCAAGGCACAGCTTAAGTATCATTTTCAACATGATTCCTTTCCAGATTCCTCTTCTTCTTCTTCTTCTTTTTTTTTTTTAAGGCAATTGGGGTTAAGTGACTTGCCCAGGGTCACACAGCTAGTAAGTGTCAAGTGTTTGGTCTGAGGCGGGATTTGAACTCAGGTCCTCCTGACTTCAGGGCCGATGCTCTATCCACTGCGCCATCGAGCTGCCCCCCAGATCTCTCTTCTTCCTCATCCCCGTCCCCTACCAGCAAAACAAACAAAAAAAAACAACCCGCTAGCGCCCTCACTTGCTACCTTGTATATTAAAACTACTTTATACTTATCTTATATTTATTTTGTATATTATTAAAGTTCCTTGAAAGCAAGGATTATTTCATTCTTGTCTCTGTATTCCAAGCCCCACAGAAAGGCATTTAATAAATGCTTGCTGTCTGACTCTATTTTTTGTTTCATCTATACAATGAGAACTGAACCAAATAATGCATACAGGTAATTTTACATACCAGGAGAAAAGCCAAAACAAGTTTGTTTGTCTTCAAAACAGAAGAGTTACAAAAGCTCTCATTTAGTTAAGATGAAATAAAAGAATCATGATAATTACGTAATTTTAACTTTCAAGAATTATAGAGAGGCAGGTGGCGCAGTGGATAGAGCACCAGCCCTGAAGTCAGGGGGACCTGAGTTCAAATCCCGCCTCAGACCAAACACTTGACATATACTAGCTATGTGACCTTGGGCAAATCACTTAACCCCGATTGCCTCACTTAAAAAAAAAAAAAAAAAGAATTATACATAAGATAGAATTTTCTGAAAAATAACAAAAAATGTCATGTATATTCTACTCATCTCAACTCATCACAGGGTTTTTAGAGTCAATCAGAATAGAGAGCACTATTACTCAAAATGGTACAATTAAAATATTAATCAATAAAACTTTTAGAAAACCTTTACTGTGAGAAGAGATATTTGAAAAAATTAACCAGCAAAAGGACCTACCTGAAATACTAACTGGGCACCAGCTCGTATATTTTGGTCTGCATCCTCCATGTCAGAACCTTTATGGAGAGCATTTTGATAGGAGCCATTTTTTGTCCAATTGGAATTTCGGACATGACTAGATGATTTGGTCACTTTTTCCTGAAGCATAAAATAAATGTCTCAAGCGAGGATTCTTAATTTAACATATTACAGAAGTCAGATGTGCCATAGCAGTTCTATAGGCTCAACACATGAAACAAATAGAAAAAATACACAGAAGTGATAAAAATATAAAATTTATCAGGTTATACTGAACAACATAGACTACAAGAAAAAGTTTTTAATAGTTTCTATGGAAAATTAGATATAGAATCAATTAGGGAGAGTTAAAAGGACTGCCTGGCTACACTGAGGACATATGCTGAAGTAGGAGAACATACAGTTTAATGTCCCAGTTATGTAATTTTCCTCCAACTCCTTTCTGAGTATCTAAGCACGTGCAGAAAAGTCAGATGGTAGGAGTAATCCAGAGCTTAAGTCTGACAAGGTATGAGCTATAACAAGGAGATGAATAATTAGAGAGTATAGGATAGTAAAGAATTTAAGTGACTAACTAAATGGTTGAGATTGAGGAAGATATAAAGAGAAGTCTGAAAATCAGTGATCACCTGATTACCGAGCGGTAAGTACTACGAGGTGGAGAGAAGGGAGGTCTCAATGAGGGTAAAGAACAGGTTTAAAAGAGGTGAAGGCATAAAGTGAGCTGGAATGATAAAACAAAGGAATGTCAGAGTTTTTGTTTAAAGAAGTAGAATAACTGTGGGTCAATTAGTCAAGCAATAAGCATTTATTAAGCACCTATATACAAAAATTGCTACGTGCTGGGGATACAAAGAAAGGTAAATAATAGTCTGCTCTCAAGTGATAAGAATCTAGTGGGGAAGACAATACAGAAACAATTACGTAAAAAACAATATGGACAGGACAAATTGGAGATACTTAACAGAGGAAAGGAACTAGCATTAAGGGGTATCAGAAAAGCACTCCCAGAGAAAGTAGGATTTCTAGCTGGGACTTGAAGCAATCCAGGAGGTAGAGATGATAAGGGAGAACACACTGTAAGCATGGAGGAAAGACAATAAAAATGCTCAATGTTGGGAGATGGAGTCTGCTGTGGGAAAAACAGGAAGGAAGTCAATGTTACTAGATCACAGTACTTGGAAGGGAATACAGTATATGAAGATTAGAAAGACAGGAAGGTTAGGTTATAAAGGGCTGTAAACGCCAAACAGAGGATTTTATACTTGATCATAAATGTCACAGGGAGCTACAGGAGTTTACTGAAATGGTCAGATCTGCACTTTAGGCCTCGATTGGATTGGATTGGAATGGTGGGTGACTGGAAGCAGGGAAAACAACCAACTGTATCACAGTAGTGCCAATGTAAGGTGATAAGGGCCTGCACTAGGATGGAGGCAGTGTCATAGGATAGAAGGGGGAAGTATATGAGACATATCATGAAAGAAGAATCCACAAGACTTATCAACAGAATGGATATGGGGGATGAAAAAGTATGAGGAGTTAAGAATGACACCTTACCCTTGACAGTAATAGAGAGATGTGGAAGGAAGAAAAGACAATAAGTTCAGTTTCACATGTTCAGTTTAAGGCATCTGAGACATTCTGTTTGAGTTGTCGAACAGGAAATTTGAGATTCGGTATAGAGGTTATAAGAGGGGTTAGAACTGGATAAACAGATCTGGAAATCATCAACATAGGTGACAGGTGAGATCTCCAAGTGAAAAATAGAGATAGAAAGGACAGGAGAGGAGAAGAAAAAAGGAGAGAAGATGACCTTTGCGAGCCACCCACATGGGTATGACATGGATGAAGACAAAGTAAAGGAAATTGAGAAAGAACAGCCAGACAAGTATGAGAACTAGGATAGAGAAGTGTCATAGAATCCTAGAGAGAAGATAAGTGATGAACAAAGTGTCAAAGTCTGCAGAAAGGTCATGGAGGATGAAGATTGAAAAAGACCATTAAACACAGCAATTTAGAGATCACTGGTGAATTTGGCGACTACAGTTTCAGCTGAATGATGAGCCCACTAGCTAGATTGTAGAGGGTTAATAAAACAATGGGAAGAAAGGAAGTGGAGGCACTGATTGTAGACAGCCTTTACAGATATGAGAGGATAGCTCACAGCGATGGATGGATCAAGTGAGCATGCCTGAAGGCAGGAGGGAACCATCCAGTAAATGAGAAGAGATTGAAGTTCAAGTGAGAGAGCAGGGATGAGAGAGGCAGCAATCTACTAGAGAAGACAGGATGGAATGATCAAAAGTATGACATCTATAAGATTTAAGGAACCTGAGGAATGGGGAGGTTAGGAACTGTGAGGGAGCATCAATATGGATACTGAAGTCCCCAAATAAAAGGGCAGGAACTGAGGAGAGGTAAACAGTGAGCCAAATGTGAAACTATTTGAGAAAGTAAAAGAAATGACATCCGGGGTTCCCAACAGCCACTATGATCTAGCAATAACAAAATCTCAGAAGCAATAATAAAAAGAATATTTCATTCAGTTTTACAATTATACATTTAGAAATACCTAAGTCAATCTACTAAAACATAATTAACAACTCTATAAATATCATTATAAAATGCTCCTTAAAGAAACATAGAGGGAGCAGAATCAAGATGGCAGAGAGAAGCCAGAAAGTTGCCTGAGCTCTCTCTAGTTTCCCTCAGAAACAATGTTACATCAATCATTCTACAAGAATTCTGGAAGTGAAAGAATCCAAAAAGAGACAGAGTGAAATAATTTTCCAGCCCAACAGAACTTAGAAGGACTTCAGGGAAGGTCTGTTTCACTTGGATGAAAGGGGTGGAGCCCAGCACAGACAGGTAAGCCAGCGGGAGGCTCTTAGCCACAACACAGCTCAGCAACTGAGGTCCTGCGGTCCTGGCTCAGCAGTGGCACAGCAGGCCAGCCATGAGGCCTCTAGCCCCAGCACAGCAGGCAAACTGAAATCCCTGGAACCTAGGGCACAACAGTCACAACTAGGCCAGGACACTCCAGGATAGTGGGCAAGCTGCCAGCACCTCAAGCCCTGGAGTCACCTGGTCCCTAGCACAAGAAGTCTGGGACAGTGCCCTCTGTGCCCCAGGAACTGAGTTCAATGTTTTAAAAATGAGCAAAACAAAACAAAACAAAACAGAAAAGAGCCCTGACCAAAGAAAGCTACTACGGTGACAGGGAAGATCCAAATACAAACTCAGAAAAGGACAATAATGTCAAAATGCCTACATTGAAACCTCAAAGGGGAAGTTGAAGTAGTCTCCCCAACAAGTCATCTTAGAAGAGCTCAAAAAGAATTTTAAAAATCAAGTAAGAGAGGTAGAAGATAAATTGAGAAAAGAAATGAAAAGTATGCAAGAGAGAGAGTCAACAGCTTGGCAAAGGAAGGACAAAAACTGACTGATGAAAATAACTCCTTTAAAAATACAACTGAAAACTACTTGGTACTGGCTAAGAATTAAAGTGGTGGATCAGTGAAACAGGTTAGGTACACAAGACACAATAGTCAATAACAGTCAATAATCAACTGTTTGATAAATCTAAAGACTCCAGCTTCTGGGATAAGAACTCCCTATGTGACAATAACTGCTGGGAAAACTGGAAAATAGTATGGCAGAAATTAGGCACAGACCAACATATTATACCCTATACCAAGATAAAGTCAAAATAGGTACGTGATTTGATATAAAGGCTGATACTATAAGCAAACTAGAAGAGCAAGGAATAGTTTAACTGTCAGCTTTATGGAGAAAGGAAGAATTTAGGACCAAACAAGAGACAGAGAACATTATGAAATGCCAAATAGAAAATTGATTACATTAAATTGAAAAGTTTTTGCACAAACAAAGCCAATACAAACAAGGTTGTAACAGAAGCAGAAAGATGGAAACAATTTTTATAGCCAGTGTCTCTGATAAAGGTCTCATTTCTAAAATATTAGGGAACTGGGTCAAATTTATAATACAAGTCATTCCTCAATTGATAAATGGTGAAAGGATATGAACAGGCAGTTTTCAGATGAAGAAATTAAAGCCATCTATAGTCATGTAATAAAATGCTCTAAATCACTACTGATTACAAAAATGCAAATCAAAACAACTCTGAGGTATCACATCACACCTATCAGATTGGTCAATATGACAAAACAGGAAAATAATAAATGTTGGAAAAGATGTGGGAAAATTAGCACACTAATGCATTACTGGTAGAATTGTGAAATGATCCGACCATTCAGGAGGGCAGTTGAGAACTATGCCCAAATGTGCATACCCTTTGACCCAGAAACAGTACTTCTAGGGCTGTATCCCAAAGAGATCATACAAGTGGGAAAAGGAACCACATGTATAAAAATATTTATAGCAGCTCTTTCTGTGGTGGCAAAGAATTGGAAATTGAGGGAATGTCCATCAATTGAGGAATGGCTGAACAAGTTGTGGTACATAAATGTAATGGAATACTATTGTACTATAAGAAATGATGAGCAGGTGGACTTCAGAAAAATCTGGAACTATGAACTGATGCTGAGTGAAGTGAGTAGAACCAGGAGAACACTGTACACGGTAACAACCACATTGTGTGATGACTAACTTTCATAGATCTGGCTCTTCTCAGCAATGTAAGGATCTAAGACAACTCCTGAAGACTCATGATGGAAAATGCTGTCCACATCCAGAAAAAGAACTATGGAGTCTGAATGAACAACGAAGAATACTTTTTACTCTCTTTTGTTGTTATTTTGTTTTGCTGCTTCTTTCTCGTGGTTCCTCTCATTGGTCCTATTTCTTCACAATATGACTAACAGGTAAATATGTTTAATAAGAATGTATATGTAGAGCCTATATCAGATTGCATACCCTCTTGGGGAGGAGGGAATAGAGGGAAGGAGAGAAAATTTAAAACTCAAAAGCTTATGAAAGTGAATGCTGAAAACTAAAAACACGTAAATTAGAAAAATAGAACTGACCAAATGAGGGGAAAAAAAAACCCACTGAAGAAAATAATTCCTTACAAATTAGAATTGGGCAAGTGGAAAGCTAATGATTCTATGAGACATCAAGAAATCAGTCAAACAAAATGAAAAGAATGACCAAAAAAAAAAGAAGAAGAAAAACAACTGACCTGGAAAATAGATCCAGGAGAGATAATTTAAGAATTATTGGACTAACTGAAAACCATGCTCAAGAAGAAGAGCCTGGACAAGATCTTTCAAAAAATTATCAAGGGGGCAGCTAGATAGCACAGTGGATAGAGCTCCAGCCTTGGAGTCAGGAGGACCTGAGTTCAAATCTGACCTCAGACACTTGACATTTACTCGCTGTGTGACCCGTGGCAAGTCACTGAAACCCCAACTGCCTCACCAAAAAGCAAAAAAAATAAAAAAATAAAAAAAAAATCCAAGGAAAACTGCCCTGATATCCAAGAACCAAAGGGTAAAATAGTCATTGAAAGAATTCACCAATTACCACCTCCTGAAAGATTCCAAAATGAAAACTCCAAGGAATATTGTAGCCAAATTCCAGAATTATTAGGTCAAGGAGAAAATACTGCAAGCAACCAGAAAGAAACAATTAAAATATCTAGGAGCCACAGTCAGGATTACACAGAACTTAGCAGCTTCTGCATTAAAAGGATCAGAGGGGCTTGAAATACGGTATTTTGGAACACAAAGGAGCTTGGATTACAGGAAAATTGAGCATAATCTTTCAGAGGAAAAGATGGATATTCAATGAAACAGGACTTTCAAACTTTCCTGGTGGAAAGACTAGAGCTGAACAGAAAATTTAATCTTCAAATACAAGACTCAAGAGAAGCATAAAAAGATAAACAGGAAAGAAATTAAAAACAAAAACAAACAGGTTATTCCATAAGGTTAAACTGTTTACATCCCCTACATGAGAAGATGATACTTCTAACTCTTGAGAACTGTATGTCTATTACAGGGCAGTTAGAAGGCGTATATACATGGACAGAAGGTGTGAGTATAAGTCGACTTTGATGAGATGACATAAAAAAATATTTAAGAGGTGAAAAAAAGCATTGTACTGGGAGAAGAAGAAAGGTGGAGGCAGAATGGGGTAAATCACATTACATGGTATAAAACACATCAGAGGCACAAAAGACCTATTGCAGTAGAGGAAAGAAGGGAGGGGGTGAACATTGTTTGAATCTTACTCGCGTCGGATATGGCTCAAAGAGGGAATAACATACACATTCAGTTGGGTACTGAATTATATTTTTACCTTCCTAATTGGCAAAAATATCTACATTAACACAATTATAAAACTTTCTGAGAAGTGAGTAAGTTTTATAAATTATGAAATATATACATATGTGTGTACACACACACACACACGTATTTTAATTTTACCTCCTCTTTTTCTTTTCCTTCTTCTGATAAAACGTCAGCTTCTACATCACTCTCAATGCAAGGTAAATTTATGGAAGTAATCTCAATTTCTTCAGGCTCTTTCATGAACAAAGGTTTCTCCTCCTGCTGAATCCATTCCTGATACACTTTCACCACTTTCCTCATAGCAGCTGCTTCACAAATTGGTAATAAAAATGCCTAATCAGAGACACAAAAACATTACTATGATGACAGATAATGCCACATTCTCCTTTGCTGAAGTAGCAGATGTGTATTAATTCTGATGCTGAATATGAGATCTAAAAATTTCCCCAAACATTAAAATCAACTAAGTTGTGGTCTGAATAACATTCTCTCTTGCCCCCATTTTCAGACATGATTGTCAAGTAGAATTATCATGAAATTAATGAATAAATGAAAGAATTATTAAGCACTTACTACATCTAGACACTGTGCAGATACAAAAGCAAGACAAGTACCAGCCCTCAAAGAGTTGAAATTCTAATAATGGGAGACATACATAGAAGGAGTGGTAGCCAGGAAAAGGGGGCATAATCTGGAAAATCACAAGGATTGTGAGTGGAACAGTAAGTCAGGACAATTGACAGGCTTTTTTTTTTTAAAAACAATGGTAGTGTTGACTAGATGAGAATTCCCAGAGCAAAGAATGCAAAGCAGGGTGGAGAATACTCATGTCTCAAATCAGAAAATTGCTAGAACCAAAGAGCAAGGTTGGGTCTAAGGTCAGTTAGATGTAGGGAAATGGGCAGCTAGGTGGTGCAGTGGATATAGTGCAAGGCCTGGAGTCAGGAAGACTCATTTTTCTGAGTTCAAATCTGACCTCAGACCTGGCAGTGTGTTCACCCTATTTGCCTCAATTTCCTCTTTGGTAAAATGAGCTAGAGAAGGAAATGGAAAACCACCCCAGTATCTCTGCCAAGAAAATTCCAAATGGAGTTATGAAGAGTCAGATATGACTGAAAAAAACGAACAGATGTAGCAAGGTATCACCAACCAAATTCCCTATGTTAGAATGACAATGAACTATGGTTCATGCAATAAATACATTAAAAGTTTCAACATAAAAGTTAATTTTTCCACTTATATCAATGATGAGGGGGGAAGGAACTGACCTCAGGAGAGAATGAAAATTATATTTAATGTAGAACTTTTTAAGCACATAAATAATAATTATCCAGGTTATGTCAATTCATCATGGAATTAAGGTTCTTCCCCTACCCAAGATTCTCAAAAACTTCTCCAGCAGAATGCATGGTTTGATAAGTCCTATCAAGGTGGAAAGGTTTCAAGGCAGGAGGAATAATAATTGACTGTGAGTCTATGATCTAGCGAATGCTTACCTATGTGTAGAGATACTCAGAGCCAAATGGCTATATGATGATTTGAGGCTACAGCAATTGATAAAAGACTAAAACACAGAAGTATTACAATATGCACTGGTATGAACACTTATACTGATGAAGTCATTTGGAAGTGAAGTCTAAAAAAAATAAAAGATGAAAATTTTTCGAAAAAGTACAAATATTAAATCTGCCCTATTTAGATGTATAAATAAACCTGAAAAAGTAGTCCCTCTAGCAGCTGTCTTGCTTTTTTAGGTTAAAAAAAATTCCTGTATCTCGTTATTAAATATATCATATTCTCTTGATTTCACTATCAATTCCCATTAACTGCAGACGCAATTAATACTACAATACTACCAACCCCAAGTACATAAACCTGAAGTTCTGTCATTCTTAGCCTGTAAAAATTTTTCAGCTGATTGGCAATGGCTGAATATTGCAGGAGTCTCCTGGAATACCAACCAAGAGTAACTCCACTATTATACTGCTCAGACATAGATCCAGGTCAGGAACTTGGAGAGTTCAGATGATGAGAAAGCAGCACTCAAGACTTTGCCCTGTATCGAACCATTTTGGGCACACTAAAATCTTGCAAGTCCCCAGCCTGTATGGTTCCTGAGATCGTGGAATAACACTACATTCAATACTCCAAGAAAGCATCCAAGGGACCAAAGAGAACAAAAACTCAGCCCAGATATTCCTGAAAGTATAGTTTCTGGCCCTAGCATAAAGTCTGCAGTGAGGAAGTAAACTGGTAAAATGAGCTAATAAAATCCTACCAAAGGGTCTGGCCTGCTCCTATTGGTGAAACAATAAACCTGGTCTCTGACTGAAAGAAGGCTGGAGGAGAATTCATCTGAGGCAGGACCTGCATCTTTTGCCCTTGAATTTCGGGGTTTCCAGCACCGTTATACCTCAACAGAACTTGGGTAAAACCTTTAAAGAAGCTAGGAATTCTACAAACAGAGGTAATTTGGAACCACTGGTGCTTCCTGAGCAAGAAAATAACAAGGATTGGTTGGATTCATGGACTTGACCTTGGGAAATGACAGTATCTGACTGGACAATCACAACTGGGAAACTCTAATAGGCAAGTGCAGCTGGTCCTCTTCTTCACTTTTCCAAAAGCTGTCCTACCGGCAGCCCCACACCTTCTGAACTGTCTGAGATGCTCCTAATATAGTGCCTGGCACATACTAGATGCTTCATAATTCAATCATCAACAAGACTGATCCAAGACAATTCCAAAGGACTCATAATGAAAAATGCCATCCACCTCCAAAGAGAGAACTGATGAACTTGGAGTGCAGATTAAAGCATACAATTTTTTTTAACTTAAAAAAAAAATCCTACCATAGAAAGTTACTGCAGTAACAGATAAACTGAAGACACAAACTCAGAAGAAGAGAAAAACTCTGGAATATCTATAAGCAAAAAGCCTGAAGGCAAAACACACCTTGGGCATAGGTTCAACTAGAATTCCTAAAAAAGATAAAGGTTTGTTTTTTTTTAAGCTAAAAATGATTTTAAAAAAGCACTAGAGGAGAAAGAGGGAAAATGACTTATAGAAAAAAGATTGGCAAAGAGAATGAACAGCCTGGAACAAGGAGTAAAAAACCTTAACCAAGAAAAAAACAACTTCCTGAGAGTGTGAATGAATGAAATAAGAGCCAGTGACCCCATAAGACAAGAAAAAATGTTAAAGCAAAGTCAAAAGATTGAAAAAATAAAAAAGTAAATTATCTTATAGCAAAAACAACTGATCAGGAAAAGATTGAGGAAAAAACTTTTAAGAATAAAAACATGGTAAAAAAAAAAAAGTGGCTGAAAGCCACCAAACAAAAAGAGCCTAGACATCATGATGAGACTGACATCTACCTAGCAACAATGAGAGCCTCAGGGCGGCTAGATGGCACAGTAGATACACTCCAGCCTTGGAACTGGGAGGACGTGCGTTCAAATCCGACCTCAGACACTTGACACTTAACTACGTGACTGTGGGCAAGTCACTTAACCCCGATTGCCTCACCAAAAAGGCAAAAAAACAAAACAAAACAAAAAACCCCAACAACAACAACAACAACAACAACAAATGAGAGCCTTGCCCAATAACTGAGGGCTCTATCTGTTGGTAAGAAAATCTTATTTTTTGTGTACATGACTAATCTATGCATGGCACTTTCACATAGCATTAAAAAACATCAAAAACAAGTGCAGAAAAGCAGAAATATTAAATGTAACTCTTTCTGACCACAACGCATTAAAAATTACATTTACTGAATCACAGATTAAAAATTAATTGGAAAAAAACTTAATTGGAAACTGGGTAACTTAATCCTAAAAAATGGGTGAGTCAAAGAACAAATCATAGAAATAATCAATAATTTCACTAAAGATAGTAACAACAAGACAACATACTAAAATTTGTGCAGCGCAGCCAAAGCAGTACTTAGAGGTAATTTATATCTCTAAATGCTTTCATTAGTAAAAGAGAGAAAAATCAGATCAAAACACTGAGCATGCAACTAAAAACAACAGAACACCAACAAATCAATCCCCCCATTAACCACCAAAAATAGAAATCCTAAAAATCAAGTGAGATTAACAAAATTAAAAGCAAATTTAAAAAATTCAATGAACAATTACAAGTAGAAGCTGATTTTTTGACAACAATAAAACAGACAAGCCATTAGCTACTGGTTTGATTTTTTTTTTTTAGAAAAAAAAAATTATCAGTATTGGAAATGAAAAAGCTGTATTCACAATGAATGAAAAAGAGAGTATTAGGAGGGGGCAGAGCCAAGATGGTGGAGTAAAAGCAGTGACTTGCTTGAGTCATCCCCCAAACCCCTCCAAACACCGGTAAAAATGGCTCTAAACAAATCTGAGAGCAGTAGAACACATAAAAAGACACAGTGAAACAAATTTCCAGCCCAAGACAACCTGGATGGTTAATGGGAAAGGCCTGTTGTGCTGGGCTGGGAGAGGAGCACAGCTCAACTTGGGCTGACCAGGCCTCAGAGAACCTAGAGCAAGCCTCAGGGGACTGAATCATGGGAACCTGTGGTGGTTTCCAGACTTTGCAACCCACAAATGCCAAAGACAACTTAAAAGGTAAGTGGGAAAGGTCCACTGGATCTAGGTGAGAGAGAAGTCCAGTCCCACCTCATCCCTGATGCAGCCCCAAGGCTTTGGAACCCAAAGTTTCAAAAACAAATGTTAAAAAAATGTTTTTACATGCAACTGAGAAATAAGAAATACAGGAAATGGAGTATAGAAATCTATCTGCCCTACAGGAAAATAGAAGGGGAAGGGAATAAAAGGAGAGGGGGAGTGTGACAGAAAGGAGGGCAGATTGGGGGAAGGGGTATTCAGAATGTATGCTGTTTTGGGGTGGGTGGAGGGGAGAGATAGGGGAGAAAATTTGGAACTCAAAATAGTGCAGAAGTAAATGCTGAAAACTAAAAATAAATAAATAATTTTTTTAAAAGAAATTATTAGAATCTATTTTACCCAAACATGTCAATAAAACTAATATTCTGAATAAAATGAGTGGATATTTTAAATAGAAATTACCATGATTAAGAGAATAGGCAAGAGAGTAATTTACTTAAATAACTTTTTAAAAAAGAAACTGAACAAACCATAAGTAAACATACAAAGGGGGGAGGGGGGAACACCCTAGGACCAGACAGATTTACAAGTGAATCCTATCAAATATATAAATAAGCAATCAATATCAATTAATACCAATACTATATAAACTATTTTTAAAAACACAAAATGAAGTGGTCCCAGCAAATTCCCTCTATGACACAAATATGATGTTGTTAT